ACGAAGCGCAGCATTCCTTTCATTCAGAGCTCTCGCGCGTTTTAACATCGCGTTGGCGGCCGCCGTGGTGTTTGCTTGACGTTCCGAGGGACCCAGTCAGTAACCGCACTGTTCCGAGGTTATCACGATATCACTGCCGTATCCGAGGCACCTGATTTGACTTCTTGGCGTAATCAATGGCATCCCTAATCTTCGTTCGATGACAGAGCTAGGATTCCGGATTCCCTTCTACACATTCCAAGCATTGTACTTTCCAAAGCGCCTTGAGTAACGCTGACAACACGATCATCCTGCTTTCATGGAGCCCGAGTCTCCGAGATGTACGACGAAGCAGAAGGAGAGCAGCGTCGAAAAGGTGAGCGCAGAATCGGATTCGTTGTCTTTCACCACTCCCTTGGTATTCTTGAATCCTCCCCACGTGACGCGTTTCTTTCTGCTCAGCTCCAGAGCTAGGCCGTCATGTTGACTTTCCGTCCTAGATATATGTACTCAGAGCATTCGAAGGTATTCCTTCCATTTGGAGTAAAGGGAGCATCAGATATCAAACAGCTCCTCGTAAACATCGTTAAGTTTAGTCCCGAGCCTATCTTCCACAAGCACTGCTAAAGTCGGCCAGCATTCGTTCCGCCTGTTTGGTGTTCGTTTATAAGCACGATGCCGTCTGCAAAGCGGAGGTGATGTAAATAGCAGCTGTCGACCTCCATATTCAAGTCTTCCCGTTCAAAATGATGCATGTACTCGAGAGCAGCGCTGAAAATTTTGGGCGAGATGGTATCGCTCTGCAGCACCACCCTCTCCACAATGATAAAGATCTCCTTGTAGTATCACGAAATCCTTGTCGTGAAGCTGTCATATAGCTCACAAAGCATCCTCAAATAGGAACTTGTGTTTAATAGGAACATGATGCTTGCCCAGAACCTCAATTACAGCTTCTGTATCGATAAAATCAAAGGGCCTATTCAAATAGATGAACGGAAGACATTACGACATTTTGAGATTGTAGTGAAGCCGCTCCAAAACCATGCTTGCTCGCCTACCTGTACTTTATCTGATATTCTGCCAATCCTGCCGGGTTGACTTGAGTGAACATTTGTAGACAACAGACAGCAGGCGATTGGGTGGTGGTTGCCAATATCGTCAACCTTGCTTCTCAGACAGCAATAAATCATCCTAGTTTTTCAGCTATTGGCACTCTGCATTCCGTGGAGAGCCTAGCTAGAGTCTGACGATAATGGCAAGTCTCCTTAGATTCTATGTTTTGATCCTTTCGGGATCGTACAACTCTTAATTGACGTCATGGCATGTCGGATTTCGCAAGGGAGAACTGAAGGGAGACTAATTCGCCCTGGCTCATGTTCTGGAGGCAAGTAGACGTTGAAGAGATCTGAGTAGAAATCGTGGATGACCTTTTTGATTACCCTCCGGGATGCGGTAACTATACATGCCTTCCGAAGACCCCACACGGCCTCGTTTCCTTAACTTCTCACTTCTCTCTCCACGCACTGTGAAACAGAATCTAGAAAGAGGAGACGACGATCCCTCGTAGAATTTCTTAACAATATTGACGTCAGTCGGGAAGTGTTTTGAATGAAGATGATGTGGTCTACTATATTATGGGACTTTCGGCCAAGTTACTCTCATGTAAATCGCAAATGGGAGTGCTGCTAAAACTGCGAATTATCATAGTTAGTGTGGGTCGACATGCTGAACTCGGACAGCCTTTCATTCTGTTCATTTTGTTCCATTACATGTGTCCCGTCGTAAGTCCTTGCATCAATAGATTTCCGATACACGCTTCCAATGCAAGCGTCCGTGCGTTGAAAGTACAGATCGCCATCTTAGTCGCTCTACCTTTAGGCAGCCTGTTTTGACCCTAGGATTTTAGCGCCTCTCCCGAGCGGCTCTATCCAACGCTGCCGTAGTTTCCTGCATATGGGTACCTACGAGTAGCATGCCAGGCTCTAACTTGGGTGCTCTAACGCGGTTTCGCAGATACATTGGTAAAATTTTCGGATGGTGATAACGTTTTCTTGGCCATAATCTACCCGGTGGCTGAGAGGAATGGATGAAGCGATTTTTTGCCATCCATTCTTCGAGATGTCAGCCGCAGTGGGTGATGCCTCCCTTAGCGCGCTCGCGAGGCGGCGTCATATTAGGAATTCCAGTCAATCAGAGGACTCGTGAATAGTTTTCGACTTCTCTCTTGCTTCAACCTCGGCATAGTTGTTTATGATTGCAATATTCTTGTGCCGTGCGAGGTTGTTAGGTGGAACAATTTATTAGTTAACGGCC